ATCACCACTCTGGTGAAGTTTTTCCTCTTTTCTCTACTTACTTACATCTCATGCGCCTTTCATTGTAACAGCATTTACTTCTCACTTCCAGAATTACTTACATGTTAGCTCCCTCCCTGCTGCCACACATTTGTGAGGGAGTATATTTTAGGGTAACCAAAGAGTTAAGGAGGGAAAGTTCTTTACAGAAGAATTCCAGCTGATTAATGTATAAGACATATACAAATTTCAATACAATTTTGTGACTCCTTATGGAAAAAATGACCAGGAAGCAGTCGTCAATGGATAACAAAACAGTGATTCTCATTCCTGGCTACATTTCAGAATCACTTGGGAACTTTTCAAAATATACCTCTGTCTAGGCTCTATATCCAGAGATTAAGATTCAGTCGGTCAGGGGTGAAGCCCCGTGACAGTTTTAAAAGCTCCTAAGGTGATCCTAATATGCATCTAGATTTAAGAATCACTGCTCTAAAAACTATCAGGTAGATGGTTAATGGGGAATTTTCTAATAAATTAATCAGGAAGATAACACTGAGTTCACTGATTAATCTTATGGTTACTAAAATTCAGGCTTATGTCTATAGTCCCAGTACTGCAGGAGGCCGACACAGGTGGATCACTTGGGCCTAGGAGTTCAAGACCAGCTTCGGCAACATGGCAAAACCCTGTCTCTATAAAAATATAAAAATTAGCCAGGCATAGTGGCACGTGCCTGTAGTCCCAGCTACTTGGGAGGCTGAGGTGGGAGAAACGCTTGAGCCCAGGAGTTTGAGGCTGCAGTGAGCTATGATCATGTTATTACACCCAGCCTGGGTGATAGAGCAAGACCCTGTATCAAAAAGGGAAAGGGGCTGATAAAAATGTTCTAAAACTGACTGAGGTTATGGTTGCATAATTCTGTGAATATACTCAAAAGCATTAAATTGTATACTTTAAATAGATGAATTCTATCTCATTAAGCCTTTTGTTTTTTAAATCAAGATAAATTTCTGTCTATGCAAACAGACACACAGAAGACTACAGTGTTTTATTTCTTTTGATTTTATATTATTCTTTTCCCTTGCACTGACAATCTTGTTTCCTAACAACATTAATATGACTATTTATCTTTACCTACATCTATATTTATACCTACCAAGCTGTGTAAATAAAAATAGTTCCTGAACAGCAGTATCTGCACTACCAAATTCAGTAAAAACTGTGTAAGATTATTGGTGTTTGTTTTTATTCTTAAACTCTTTCCCACTTGGAAGTATAGTGAAATTACTGTGTTATAAACACATGACAGAATTCTAGAGTGTTTAAGTCAATATTTTGATACACAGGTTTGTTTCATTTTAGTTATTTTTTAAGGACCACCTTCCCCCCCCCCCACCTCCATTTTTCCCCAATTTTAAATGTTGTTTTATAATTATGTAATTTAGTTACAGGTCAAAACAAAGTATTTTCAGAGAAATCTAGCTTCTACCTCTCCCTCTTCTAAGTTGTTTCTCTTTTATTGATAACCATTTTATTTTATGGTTTATTCCTCCATTTTAAATAAGTTATAAGCAAATACATAAATGATAGCTTTGTACTATATACAGATGATTCTGCCTTGTTTTTAACTTAATGTTATATCCTGAAGACCACTGTATATAATTTTTCGTTCTTTATCTTTTTGGTACTCCATTACATGGGCTTCAACATCCAATTATGGATATGCTATAATTTATTGACCTAATCACTGTACAGTAACTATAGACATAAAGACATCTTCAATATTTTGAAATTAGTAAAAACATTGTTGTTATCTTTTCACAGTTCTGCCAGTATATCTCTAAGATTTTTCCTTTTCTTTTTTTTCTTGACATAGGGTCTTGCTCTGTCACCCAGGCTGGAGTACAGTGGTGTGATCACGGTGGAGTACAGTGGTGTGATCACGGTGCACTACAGCCTCAAACTCCTGGGCTCAAGCAATCCTCCCACCTAAGCCTCCCGAGCAGCTGGGACTACAGGTGCACATTACCTCACCTGGATAATTTTTTGTATTTTTTTGTAGAGATGGAGTCTCATTACGTTGCCTAGGCTGGTCTCAAAATCCTAACCTCAAGTGGTTCTTCCATCTCAGACTCCCAAAGGGTTGGGATTTACAAATGTGAGCCACTGGCCCTAAGATAATTTTCTTGAAGTAGGAATGTCAGGTCAAAGGGTAAACTCATAGGTAATTTTCCTTGGTATCGCTGAATCCCCTTCCATGAAGTTGTTTCATTTTGGATTTCTACAAGTAATATATGAGAGTTTCTGTTTCTCTACAGCCCAATCATAGAAAATGTTGCTAAACTTCTGGATTTTTGTCAATACAGTAAGTGAGAAATGGTATCTCAATGTAGTTTTAATTTGAATTTCTCTATGAATTAGATTGAATATATTTTTATATCTTCAAGGACCATTTGCATTTTGTTCTCTTATCTTTAGCCCAAAAAAGATAAAGTTGTTGGTCTTCTCTCTTTTAAGAGCCTTTATTAGGGATAACAAAAGTTGCAATTTTTTTTTCCCAATTTGTCTTTTACTTTGCTTAGCTTTTTCTCCCTCCAAAATTTTTCTTTTAATTTATGTAATCATATTTATCAATCTTTTCCCTTAAGGCTTTTAGATTTTGAGTCACAGGAAATATTTTTCCCAGTTCCAGGATATAAAGGGACCACTCATGTTTTCTTCTTATTTATATGGATTCACTTCTTGGATTCATTTGAAATTTATCTTGATGTGTAAAGAATGAAATAATTTTTGACTTTTTAAAAATTTCATTTTTATTTTTGAGATAGGACCTACGTCACCCAGGTTGGGGTACAGTGGTGCAATCCCCGCTCACTGTAACCTCAAGCTCCTGAGTTCAAGCAATCCTTTCATGTCAGCCTCCTGAGTAACTAGGAATGCAGGTATATGCCACCACGTCCAGATATTTTTAGAATTTTTGGTAGAGATGGAGTTTTGTTATGTTGCCCAGGCTGGTCTCAAACTCTTGGCCTCAAGGGATCCTCCTGCCTTTGCCTCCCAAAGCCAAAATTATAGGTGTAAACCACCATGTCTGGCCTTACTTTTGTCTTATACTAACATTCGAGTGAGGCTCACTTTGTTGGTTTTACAGTCTATGCATATGCATTTATTCCTCCATTCGGTCAAGGAAAAAAATATTATGTGTCATGCTAATGGTAGGAATTTTCATTTTGGAAAACAAAAATTTCCATTTTTACAGAATAAAAGTCATACTGTGACCTTCTGTACTATTATTTTGAAAGGCTTTCTGCATTTTTGCAACTATTGGCATAAACCACATCCTCTTTCTAGTGGTGCCAGGTAACATAAAATTAAGCCAAAGATCACCAACTCCTGGATTAGACAAAGCCACTTATTAATTAAAATTAATGTTAAAAAGAGTAAATTAAGACTCTTTTTAATTAAAATTCAGTGTGATTCTGTGACTAATTCTTGTCGCTGGGGAAAAATAAGAATCCCTAAATTTGTGAGGTGCAATCCTGAAAATGCATTAGGAATATCACCTATTGATAGTAATGTCATCAATTTTTAACTTAATTCTTTCTCATGCTGACATTCTGTGATAAATATATACTGGTATTTTCATGAAAAAACTAACTGGCCAAATCACTAGGAAATTAGAACTTAACACCAGGTAGAAACAAATACCAAAAGGAAAATGTACAATACTGCAAATAATTTAAGTTAGACATTATTTTAATTCTCATCTGCTGTGTGCCAAGTTCTAAAGAAATTTTCAAAAAGAATAAAAATTTCTAGATGAGAAAAGTAGAGGAGACTGTGAACGTCAGGTCTCCAGGACAATAATGTCTCATTCTTTCACTTTAATGACTCCAGCACATAAGGATTCATTATTCAGTGAATGGCTTCTGCTCTTATCTATAATAAAGTGAGGAAAGGAATAGATGACAACATCAATGGATAACCTACAGTCTCATTTTGGATACTGGATCTATCCTTCACCTTAAGCAAACCTATTAATTTCAACTACATCACACGAACAAAAATGTCTGAATTTTGGCATTTTAAATCTCCCTCTCTTTCAGTTAGTGAAGTTCATGAGCTGGGAAATAATCAGAATGTAGCAGGATGAGAGATGGCGCTTAGCTGACATACTGGCTATCAAAAAATTTCATTTTAGACATGAAGTTAAACCTCAGAGTTTCTGACCTAAACACAGTTAGCTGGGTTTAGGTCTTCTGACTCTGAGTCCAGTGCCCTGTCCAATATACCATTCTACAAGTCAGGTCAGACAAGAAAAATGTACAGCTGGAACATTATTACGATGTTGACTATAAACAAAATTCCACTGAAACAAAATTCTGTGAACATCACTTACAAGTAGATGACAAAGATAATTCTGCTATAGGATCTAAGCTAAGTATGCCAAAATTTCACATTCATAATTAATTTATACCATTTCAGATGGGAAAACTGAAGCTAAGGTCAAATTCAGGTTAAAAAACAAAATAACTGAGTACCAGGTACTGGTGTTAGAATGAGAGCATAAATTACTAAATCACAGTCAAAAGTAAGTATGTTTAACCTCTGGGACAATGCTTACTCAGACCACACTCATTATTAAAGAAAGTTGAATCTCAGTAGTCTCCTATACACAATTATTCAATATTTTTGATAAAAAGAAGACTTCAAAGAGTTTTTCCAAAATGTAATACAAAGATCTGAATTCAAAAATTATTTACTCTAACATTTCTTAAATTATTGGGGACAGTATTATAAGTAAAATAAATTGATAGACGCTAACTCCAGCTTTATGAATTCTCAATGCTAAGATCACCTTATTTCAATAATACAGCACTTACAATATTCCAAAGTACTTTTAGAGATAGAACCTAGATACCAAATTTCTTGTTTGACATGAAAACTATCCCAATCTATCCAAAGTTGGTATTTTCCCTAAGTTTGGGAGATTTCTCATAGAAAAAGGTGACATATACCTTTCCATAACAGCCAGGCACTCCTTTCTCCAGGTAAATCGACTCCCTCGTCGTAGTCGGAAAGTACCAGATGTTGCAGAGACTGGGGGAGGTGTTTGTCTCCATTCAGGGTCCTCTATTGGAATGGGGGCTGGTCTCATACTTAGTGTGGCCCCTGAAATAAACAAGACATTTTTAGCAAATATCTTGCAGTTTCTTTAAACCATTATGACATCTATCTCTTTATGGGAATGGGGAAGTATGGTCTTTGGCTTAGTGTCAACTTTTTGTATCTTCCTCTGAAAAATTTCTTTTGAAATTCCTGCTTTATAGTTACACTCTTTTTGAACAATATACCTTAGATGTTCAGAATCTTTCATTACCATTCACACAAATTATGAGCTCTTAAGGAATTTATGCAGGTAGAAAATAACCCTAATTCTTGTAAACTCTTTTTTTTTTTTTTTTAAAGGATCAAATATAGCACGAAAGAAGGAAAGATGATATTTGATGTGCTTTTTGTCCAACTAATTCAGGTCTCTATAAGTTTACCTGTTGATGCTATACTAGATTCTGTTACCTCTTGAACATAATCAAATTTCAATGAGAAATATCTATAATTGAGACATTTTACTAATTCGGATTACTCCTTTCTCAAATAGCTTGAACTGCCAATGATGCATTTATTCATTCGTTCACCATTTATCAAGTCCCTTTCAAGTGGCTTGCTCTGGGGTAGAAACTAAGAATAAAACCGGGAAAGCAACATTGTCTCTGCCCTCCATGAACTTATTTCATACTTTCAATGTAACTTGGCATGCTTTCACAGAGTTCAGTCCCTGGCTCCCCCACTCTTCTTTCACTCCTTACACTGTTAAATTCATCTTCCTAAAGCATAATTATGATCATATCAGCCTTCTGATCAAAACCCTTCAAAAAATTCTCTCTGCCTGTGGTTTAATTTAAACTCTTAACACAGCTGTAGAAAGACATGTTAGAATGTGTAGGGTTTATGCAAATATTAGTAAATATATTAATTCTGTTAATGAATATTTATATTTATTTCTTCCTTATTAAAGGATTAATACTCTCTTTATTGTACCTTGCAAATAATACCATGGATAGTATTTCTACTTCAAGACTTACAGATCTATTGTAGATACCCTTCTTAACAGCTACATCTTTTGATGTATTCTCTTCCACAGATGTCCAATTTGTTAATCAATCCTGATGTTCCTTTTCAAACCTACTGTCCTGCAGTCTTTCCCAGCTCAGTAACTAAACAGCCACTCTTCAAACTGCTCAGCTCAAAATTCTCAAATTAATCTTTCACTTCTCTAATTCCCCCATATATTACATAACCAATTCATAGGCAAGTTCATCTTCAAAATATTTCCAGTATCAGACCAATTTTATTCCTTGCACTGCTAACTACTTTTAGAACACTTCAGCATCATCTCTCATAATCATGGCTTCCTGGGACAAGTTTCAAAGATGGCTCTTCACAGTAAGTCACACCTCTGGCTAATCATGCCCTTGAATCTGGGCTAGTCATGATGACAGACAGGTTTTGAGCAAGAAAACCTAAACAATTCAAAGCTATGTTATCAGATGATTTGAAATTTCTGCCTAGGTCTCCTAAAATGCTTGCGCTGGGGGAAATCAGTGGCTATATAAGAAGTCTGACTAACCTGAGACTATGATGTTGTAAGGAAGCCCAAAAGCTAGCCAGGTGGAGAGGCCAAATGGAGTGAAAGATGCTCTGATAGTCCCCAGGTGCTTGTGCCAACTCCACCCAGGTGCCAGCATTTGAGAGAAAAAGCCATCTTGGACACTGCAGCCACAGCAGACTCCACATGGAGAAGTGTAGAAACCAGTTGATAGAAACCAGGCCTCAGACTTCAGTCCCAGCACAGCCATGTGAATATCAACCTCCAAGGTCCCTAAGGATCCCTGCCTCCTGGTCTGCACACCTTTGTTTAGTCCCTTCCCACACGGCACCATGATTAGGCTGTACAACCAACAGCATGTAGCAGTGATGGCATGTCACTCCCAGGATCAGACTACAGAAGCCATCGTGGCATCTGTCTTGGATGCTTTCTCTCTTATTCACTCAAGGGAAAACTAGGTGCCATGTGTGAGGACACTCAGGCAGTGGATGGCGAGGCCCATGTTGTGAGGAACTGCTGTCTCTCACCAACAGGCAGTGAGGACCCGGGACCTGTCAACATCCATGTGAATGAGCTTCCAAGTAGATCATCCAGTCCCAATGACTGCAGCCAAGGCTGACAGCTGGGCTGCAACCTCTACAGAACTCTGCGCCGGAACCAACCAGCTAAGCCACTCCTGGATTCCTGATCTATAAAAACTATGAGATAATAAATGCTGGTTGTGTTAAGCTGTTAAAATTGTGGGTAGTTTGTTGTATAAGAACAGATAACTAATGAAAATAATCACAATCATCCCCACTTGTTTATTTCCCTTTATCCCCCAATGCACTGAGTATTAATTATTCAAATGTATACATTTGGCAGCAAAATATTTCCCTTTAATATAGAGACTTCACTACTAATAAGAATGAGAATCTCTTCCTGTTTATTGACCATTTATATCTTTTCTTGTGAATTCCTGTTGTTCCTTTTTTTTGGGGGGGGGGTTGGTACATAGAAATCTTATCAATTGCTAGTCATACAGAATGCAATTTTTTTTTCTGGTCTGTCATTTGTGTTTTATGGTGTGCTTTGTGATCTTAATTTTTATACAATCAAATTTTTCAGTCTTTTGTTTTATGGCCAGTGGGTCTAAATATCACTCAGAGTATTTTTACATTTTTCATTTTGTGTTTCAGCCCTTAATATATATGTGATTTTCTAAAGCATGTGATGGAAAGTAAATATTTATTTAACATTTCTGCTCAAACAAGTAAGTTTGTCATCGCATAATGTTTTAGTGATTTAAAGCTCACCCTAAAACAGCGTTGGCAAATTATGCCCGCTACCTACTTTTGTAAATAAAATTTTACTGAAACATGGTTATGCTCATTCATTTGCAGATTGTCGATGGCTATGAAGAGCTGAGTGGCTATGATAGAGATCATATAGCCTGCAAAACCTAAAATATTTATTGTCTGGCCCTTTATATGAAGAGTTTGCTGACCCCTGGTTTAAAAACATTTCTGCTCTACCCAACATGAAACTCTAAACTGAAACCCTTCTTTAAACAATTTAAAAGGGTTTCATTCTGCCAAAATAAACTGGGAATTCACTCTGGGCCTAACTCAAAGTTAACAAAGTTTAGACATAAGCAGCAATTTGGGGGCTGGAGGGTTTCAACACTGTTTAGTGCTTTTCTGAAAACAAACAGGGATTATAGCACAGTGAGAGCTCTGGAATCTACCTAATTAAAATTACATAAATTTTATTTTACAGCAAGGGTGAAAAGAACTAAAACAGAGCCAACCGGTTATCATGGCTGATCAGGATAGGGGTAGAAATAGACGGGCTAAGGGAATATAACCTCTTGTCCAAGGGCTGACCCTAGTAAAGAAAGAGTTTCAGGGTGGCAGGGGGCAACAGGTGAGTGAATTCCAGGTAGTGGGCCACATCCATAACTGCGGTCCTCAGTAAGCAGAGTGATGAGTGGGTACCAACAGAACAGAGGACAGAAAGAATCTTAACCAAGAGGTTGAAGGAAATAAGACAACTAATAATAATGGTTCTTTCTTGGTATCGGGGTTTATTAATAATACTATGCTTCTTTATAATATTCTGTATTGTCAAGATAGTCTCAAGAACTGAAGAAATTCAGATGAAACAAAACTGGGCAGGAAGGAAAAGGAAGAGGCGAGAGGAAAAACGGAGAAAAAGGAGAGAAAAGTAAGGAGTGGCCTAGTTATTCTGAAAGAAATCAGGGCAGTTTATGCACAGAAGGTGAAAACTGAATAATCTCAAACTCATCAAAATAATTTAGAACATAATATTACCACATTACTTTTCTTTTCTTTTTTTTTCTGGCTCCTTTTTCTTTTTCAATGTAGTGGCAGTTACAAACAGCACAAAAAGCATTCTGGAAATTATTAACAAATAGATTTGTTCTGGAAAACTTAGTTCATCTTACTTTGGATGAAATGGAGAAAAAGCAATGAAAAAAATCTAAGAATGAGCTCAAAATTATTGACTCTAACAGAAAAACACAAAGTTACTAGAATGTAGGAACAATGTATATAAACCTTTAAACTCCTCTGAAGTAAAATACAGGAGTTCTGGGTTGTCTAAGGTCCTGACAGGAAAAGTGTGTTGTCTATTTCTTTGTAGAAATGTTTATTCCCCTCCCCCACCCCGTCTAAGTCTCCATTAAAACAAAATTTTGCACCTTCACCTAGCAAATCTAAACCTGTGAGGAAAACAAAACCTTTTCATAATTTGGTAAGAGATTTAAAAATTTTGATAAGTGTTCTCTATACATATATGATAATGTTCTTGCTGATCGAGGTTAGCTCTGGGTGAGCGACTATACAAGCTCATCATATCTATGCCATCCACAGGAACTAGCCTCTCCAAAAGTAATGTCCTATCTTCTCCCATGTCACACACAATCTGAGATCTCACAATCTGCAAATGAAGGACTGGGTATTTCTTCTGATGACTCTTATCTCATGTATTTGCTGCATAAGCATCTTGGCAAATTTTATTTGTTTAATTTAGAAGCATGCAGAATCTGCGCCACATGTCAAGAGGAACTCAGCAAACCCAGTCTTCTATAGTGACGTTTAAATTAGACAAGGGAAAAAGACTGTGAACTTAATTTGATTAAATAAAGGGACTTTTGATGTCAGCCATGTTGAATTTAGTACTTGCTTCTTTTTAAAAAATAGGTATTTTCTTGTGTTTTCATAAGAAACAAGAAAAAAGTATTTGATTAGTTTCCATCAGCCTGTTTTATTAATATGCCTTGGCAAGCTTTTGGTTATGCTGGGAAATTCAGATGATGAGTCTGTTATCAGAGAACTGCACTATATCAACTGGGTTATCAGTAAAATTAACCTAAATATCCATTCTATTATTTTTCTTGCTGAGTCCACTTAAAGAGAAACTTAAAAAGAAAACCCAAAGCCATATCCAACTGGATCCAGACTGAAGAGGTTGAAAAAAAGAACTTCACTCAAAGTATACAAAGAAAATGCTCTAAGGCCCAGGAATAGAGTCATAGAATATACAAACATATTTGTTTTCTAAATGCTTAAGTTTACAGAAGAAACAAGGAAAAACAGTTTTTCATTCTGTGACTTTTCTTAATTTTACATTTTCTTCTCAGAATATATGTAAAGGGATGACACTATTTACATTTCCCCTAATGAGCTATCTTTCCTAGACAGAAAAAAAAAATTACGAAATAAAAGAATTACTTGATAAAAATCACTGACAACTTATTTCCTACCTGCTTCTCAAGAGCAGGTCTGGACCATACAAGCCTGTCTTACTTTTCTTCTTCCTTTCTTTCTTTTCCTCTTTTCTTTCCTTTTTTTCTTCCTTTCTTTTGTTCTTTCTTTCTTTCTTTTCCTTTTCTTTTTAATCTTACAAGGCAGATTGATTTCTTTTGGTCTCCCTCTCCCTCCTTCCTATTACACTTTATTTTTCAAATATATAATACAAGTACATAGTACAAAATTTAGAAGGATACATTAGGGGCCGGACACAGTGACTCACGCCTGTAATTTCAGCACTTTGGGAGGCCAAGGGGAGAGGATCACCAAGTCAAGAGATCAAGACCATCCTGGCCAACACATGGTGAAACTCCTAAAAATATAAAAATTAGCTGGGCATGGTGGCACACACCTGTAATCCTAGCTACTCAGAAGGCTGAGGCAGGAAATTGTATGAAACCCAGGAGGTGGAGGTTGCAGTGAGCTGAGATTGCGCCACTGCACTCCAGCCTGGGCGACAGAGCAAGACTCTGTATCGGCGGGTGGGAGGCAGGGGAAGATATATTAGATTGTTTAGTTAACTTCTTACCCCTGTATTCCCAGACACTCAGTTCCCCTTCACAGAGCTGTTCTTGCCAGTTCCTAACACAGCTTTTCAGACAGCTTCTATGCTTATGTAAGCACATACATCTGTATATGTGTGTGTGTTCCCCTATGGAAATATGCCCTCGATATTGTTATCTCACATTTATACTTATGAATTCCATGTCACCTCATACACATTTAATTCATATAAAGCTGCCTTCAAAAAATAGCTACATAGCTCCAAAAGATTCCATTGTACAGATGTGACATTGGTTTATTTAACCAGTTCTCAACTGAGGGACATCTGAGTGGATTCTAATCAGCTCTGAAATGACTTGCAAAGAAAGATCTGATGTATAAGCTAACATAATTTTAGTTCATCTTATCCAAAATAACAGTAGCTCCAAAGTGTCAATGGAATAAGAAACGATACCATCCTTTAGCCAAAATCAAAGGTTATTTTACAGTCAACAAAACAAAATCACATTTATCTAGAAAGAATTCTATGCCGTATTAGCCTTTATAATACACGTGAAAATGCAAAGAAAAAGATAAACAGATTTCAATTGCTAATACCCAACTGCTGTTAATGCAACAACTACCAATTGGCAATTATGAACTTGCCCTCTTATCTCCAGCTCCCTTTAAATTATGTCCCACAGAAAAACCTGACTGAGAAAACTAGTAGATAGGATTTGATTTAAAAAAAAAATAGAAACTACTTTAAAAAGGTGACAATAATGCAACCTCACTAAAAAACAAATGCATATAATTAGAGTAACGTCTTAAAAGGAGGCACTGTATCTTTAAAGAAATCAGCTCCTAATGATCAGCTGGATGAATGCTATTAGTTCCAATTCCCTCATTCTACCTTCCTCCAATTTCCTGATAATGAGTGGGCCCAACTCTGATTTCAAAGATAAACCAAAATAGGAAATAAGACGAAATGCTAAAATAAATAACAATAATTTTTTTTAAAACCCCAGCTTCAGAAGAACACTGCCAGCCTAGTGCTAAAGTTGGACCCCTGTCCGATGAGCTGCAACAAAGTTGCTGCGGCCAGAGAGCTGCACTTTAGTCTTCCTTCCTGTTTCTAGTTCAGAGCCAGATCCAAGCCCAGCATTGAAACTCCAGTGTGGGAATTTGGCATTACCAGCTGATTATCTCCTTTTGCAATCCCCATTAGAATAACTGATTCAGGCCGGGTGTGGTGGCTCACGCCTGTAATCCCAGCACTTTGGGAGGCTGAGCCGTGCGGATCACGAGGTGAAGAGATTGAGACCATCCTTGCCAAAATAGGAAAATCCCTCCTCTACTAAAAATACAAAGATTAGCTGGGCGTGGTGGTGTGCGCTTGTAGTCCCAGCTACTCCGGAGGCTGAGGAGTAAGAATCACTTGAATTGGGAAGCGGAGGTTGCAGTGAGCTGAGATTGCGCCACTGCATTCCAGCCTGCAGACAGAGCAAGACTGTGTCTCAGAAAAAAACAAAAGAGTAACTGATTCAGTCAAGGATCATCAATGAATGCTAGGGCAATTGATGAAAGCTGTTGCAGGAAAAGATATTCATTCAGTGGCAAAACGTCATCCTAAAGATTATTCACAAATGGCAAAGAAAAGATCTCGTGGTCACCATTTCAACAAAATCATCAAACTTAGCATATGAATAGTGCTACAACATCCTAATGCTGACAGGCCTCCTCATATGTGGCAATACTAGGTAAACATTACCTACAAAGTATTTTTCTCCAGTATTTTATTGCAAAAAATTTTAAACATGCAATAGTAAAAGAATTTAAGCGCAAGCCATACTTATCACATATTTTACTGTATGTACTTTAACACATACCTATCCATTTCCCTATATGTCAAGCCATTTTATTTTTTTATTCATTTCAAAGTAAACTCCTGCCATTACTATGTGACTCCCTAAATAATTTATGAAGTTTTCTTGCCTAAAATATTCAACCTAAATCCTGACGTCAGCTTAATTCTAACTTCCAGTTTACAGAAATATAAGGATATAGAAATAAGATATTTGATAATAAAAATAAATAGAAAAATCTAGTATGTGAGACATTCTGTTAAATTACATGGTTTAAGAAGTTCACATAACCAAAAAAAAAAAAAAAGTTTGGATGACTAAAGAGTCTAAAGAGACATTCCAATTTGCCAACTAAAAAAGATACTAAAAAACAAAAAAGAGCTACAAAAGACATTCTTCCAACAGCTAGAGAAATGTGACTACAGACTGGACATAAAATGATAATATGGAATTATTATTGATTTTCTTAGGTATAATAATTGGGACTGTGGAAATATAGATTATTTTTAGGAGATGAATGCTGAATACACACAAATGCACATATATAAATCTTAACTTCTTTTATAGGAATACAGCAAATATAAAACGTTAATAATAATTTTTTTTTTTTTTTGAGACAGGGTCTCCCTCTGTCATCCAGGCTGGAGTGCAGTGGCACCATTTCCACTCCTGAGTTCAAGCAATTCCCCTGCCTCAGCCTCCCAAGTAGCTGGAGCCTCAGGCATGTGCCACCACACCTGGCTAATTTTTGTATTTTTAGTAGAGACGGCGGTTTCACCATGTTGGCCAGGCTGGTCTTGAACTCCTGGCCTTAAGTGATCTGCCTGCCTCGGCCTCTCAAACTGCTGGGATTACAGGCATGAGCCACCTCACCTGGCCAAATGTTAATAATTATTATATCGAAGAAAGAGTAAACACGTGTCTACTGTTTAGTCTTTTGTATTTTGTATACATCTGAAACAATTCAAAATAAAAATTGGGGGTCAGAATAGATTTTTGATATTACTGTAGAGGTTGATATGGTCTCTTCTGTTTCATCCTGCCTGGACCATTCGGAATGAGAAAGTAATCTTTGGGGGAAAAAAATCTTCTCACATATCTACACACAAAAATAAATCTCTGTAACATTCTTTATTTCTACCTCAGAGCCAATGGTATTATGATGTAATATTTCAACTAGTGATTTAGTCTTTTGCAAAGGCTTTAAGGCTGCAGCATTACAGGATACAACATAATCCTAATTTTATACTTGAGAGCAGGCTCACTGCCACTTGCCTGTGTAAAGTATAGGCTGAGATAGTACCACAACTTCCTATTTTACTTTATAAAATCACCTGTTAAAAGTATCTTGAATAGATCTTGCCTACTTCTTCCAACTTTAGACATAAAAGTTTTTATCATCTTACTTTTCCTTAAGATTTCATTCTGCGTTCCAATCTACTGCTGCTCCTGAGAGTTATCAGGGCAGCTGCATCCTAAAGTCCAAAGCCACATCCATTACCCAGGTCATTAGAATTAGAAAAAAAAAAAATCATTAGCAGAGATCACTGGATATGGTATAGTGTGAACTAAATAAAAATTTCAAATTTACATTACTAATTCAAACAAGATTTGCAAAAAAAAAACCCCAGAAAGATAAAGAATTTTATGTAGTGATGTAGCTGAAGAAAACAAAATCAGCCACTGAACATTCATGGTGTTCTTTCCAACTATGGATAGAAATGTCATATAACCTGAAAGCAAAGAGGAGTCTTAGGGGAAGGAGTGAATACGACTAGATAATATTAGACAAAATACAATTTATCACAATTAGAGTTTAGCTTTTTCCATGAAGAATGTTTTTCTGCATAAAGCAAACATAGGAAAGTATGAAACTATCCTACCTAACAAGTTAGCACCATGGAGCCATTAAAGTAATTCATTATATCTGTCTTGTTTCAGATGCAATAAATAAAAGGAAATGCTATTTACCGGGGTTTGTCTTCTCAAGTTGATACCATCGGTAAAATGCTCTTTTCTTCTGTTCACTCAGGTCTGATCCCTGCTGCAACAGCCAATGGGAGATCCGGCTCTGACTGATACCTATGTAGAAAGAGAAACAGGTTTTGGGGGGCACTGAAATTACAGTGAAATTAATAAAGGTTCTTTTGGTTCTAGGTTACTGGGTGCTTTATGCTCTGTGTCATGTCTATAAGGAAGTTGCAACCTGAGCAAACTATTATTGGATTCCTTTGTAAAGGCTGGCTGCACTGGCTAGGAAATACTCAGAAATTATCTCTTAGATGTCAAAGCAGTTTATTAATTAAGACCTGACAATGGCCTCTAAAATTAATCTCCAAAAAACGTCCATGAATCTGAGATAAAGAGATTCCTAAAGTTATTTGTCAGAGTTTATTATATTTGTGCTCCTTCAACTACCATTGCTCTCCACTCTGCCACTGATTTAGAATAATAAAAATTTTAACAGATATTGAGCAAAAAAGTCAAGTCAGCAAGTTTTGCTACTCATTATGGATACAGACCAAAAGATTTAGGGGCTAGGAATCAAAAGGTCATTGAAAATACTGTCTTCAATAAGGTTTTTTTTGCCTTATTTGTTAATTCATTTAGGCATTTTTAGAGTCCACAGAGAAGAATTAGCAGACATTTGGAGATATGCTACAATATGACCTCTTAAGAAATCTCAAGAGCTAAAGACATTTTTCCAACACATGCTTTCCACAAAACCGAACAGAATATGAAACAACAGTTTTCTGCTATCTCCTAGAAGCTCTTGACAGCAATTACTTAAAAACGTAAAGAATCTCTATATCTGAAAGTAAAAAAACATGTCTAAAACTTACTAGTATGAGAATCACATGCTCATTCTGGTCATTCATAGTCATTCCAAAAAATGAGTAATTCAGTACAAACTGGCAAAAACAAGTAACAACGGACAAGACAAAACTGTCTTAGAAGTCCACAAGGCACTTTCCAAAAGACCATTCGGCTACCAGAGAAGGTTACCAATACCTAAAACCTCCCAAAGAATTACTGATGGTAACCAAATATGACTGAATACCACCTGTGCCAACACCTGTTTAAAGCTATAATGCCCAGCGGGAAGAGTAGCCATCAAGAAGTAATCACACCCTCTAACATCAGAAAAAGCATGAGGTCCAGGGATCATGTTTAACAAGCAAGCCCCTAAAGTTTCACACACTTAAAAACCTACGTCGAAAGAAAATTTCAGGAAACCAGCGAGGGAAATGTTAAAAGAAAGACTGTGAAGCAAATTCCTCTGACTGGAAACATCTTTTTTCCTTCTTCTGAGACAGGGTCTCACTCTGTCAGTCAGGCTGGAGTGCAGTGGCAGAATCATGGCTCAGCACACCCTCTCATCTCAGCCTCCCAAAGTGCTAGGATTACAAGCATGAGCTACTGTGCCAGGCCTCACCAACTCCAGCTAATTTCTTTCTTTTTTTTTCCTTTTTTTTTTTTTTTTTTTTTTTGTGGAGACAGGGTGTCACAACAACAATGTTGTCCAGGCTTCTCTAACTCCTGGGCTCAAGTGGTCCTCCTGCCTCCACCTACCGAAGTGCTGGGATTGCAGGCATGAGCCACCATGCCCAACCTGGAAACATCTTTCAATTTCAAAAGGCAAAATTCAAACAGTTTTCTAAAACCTAAGTAATAATATTCTCAAATGATTCACACAGCAGTTTTCCAATGGACTAAAGACCTATGTGATGCAGTCACTGGCAGCTAGCACTGTATGCTGCTTCTAAGAAAATGCAAATTCTTCTGGATAATTCAATCAGCTTTCACCAAAAGTCTAGTTTCAGACATTACAATATTTTTTATACTACCTTTTTTAAAAAAGACAGAATTTGACTCTGTTGCCCAGGGTGGAGTACCGTGGGGTGATCTCAGTTCACTGCAACCTCTACCTCCTGGGTTCAAGTGATTCTTCTGCCTCAGCCTCCTAAGTAGTGGGGCCTACTTAGGCATGTATCACTATGCTCAGCTAAATTTTGTATTTTTAGTAGAGACAGGGTTTCAGCATGTTGGCCAGGCCGCCTCGACCTCCCAAAGTGCCGGGATTACAGGTATGAGCCACCACACCTGGCCTATACTGCTTTTTCAAAGAGTGAAGAAAACAACCATCATAAAATCAGCATTGAATTTCATGTCAACAAAATAAAACTATACGGATTCTTCATACTGGTATCATACTACTCAAAACAGAAAACTTGAGAAAAATCTGTTGAGAAAAAATATATTATCAGCTCTGTTAATTGGTTACAATATGAAATCTTCCTCAGACAGTCAGATAATACATAGAACAAACCACAGAACCCGCTAGACATCAGAGTTGTCCAGGTTCTGGCTGCTGAGGTGAGAGAGGAAGATAAAATCTCATCAAATGGACTTTAGTTAAGTTAGAGTATATTTATATAACAAAACACTTGCAAGCTGTAAAATTAATATTTTTAAAAAGACATTAAAAAAAAAAAAAACCGGAAAACTACAACAAAAAAGCAGAACCAACCAAACAAATAAAGAGCCATCAATGCCAAGTGTTGGCAAGGCTGTAGAGCATATAAAAAAAACTCTCATACTGCCAATGGAAGGACAAAATGGCAGGGCTACTTTGGGAAATAGTTGAATGGTAACTGCTAGATCTGAACTTATATATACTTTATAACCTAGCAAGCGCTCAACAGAAGTATGTCCAAAAGAGACAAGAAGGCTTTTGTAAACATTTCCGTAAGAGTCACCAATGTGAAACAACTACATGCCCATCAACAATAGAATAAACTGACTGTGGTATCTACACATTCTACTACAGACTACTATACTCAAAAAGAAAAGGATAAACTATCGCTGTATGAACTGACATAGATAAACATCACAAAAATATACTGACTGAAAAACCTTATGACACAGACACACATAGACAAAAGCCATACATAATTATATATGATTCATTTTATATAAAGCTATAAAACAGACACAACTAATCTATAGGGATGGAAATTAGAATAGTAGTTACCCATGTAGAAGGGGAAGGTTTCTGCCTGGGAGTTAGAATGAGGAAGGTTTGTGTGGTGACCAGCATTGCTCTTTATCTTGATCTGGGGGATGGTTATATGGGTATCCTCACTTGACTTTTAAGTATCTATTACGCTGGACAGTTTTCTGTGTATATATTTAAATTTTTAAAAGTCTCCCCCCAAATATTTTTACAATTCTATTTGGTTTCAAAAAAATGAAGTAAATGGATATGTATCAATATGGAAAGATGCCCATGAAATAAATGAAAAGGTACGTATTTTTTTTTTTTTTTTTTTTTTTTTTGAGACGGAGTTTCACTCTTGTTACCCAGGCTGGAGTGCAATGGCGCGATGTCGGCTCACCGCAACCTCCGCCTCCTGGGTTCAGGCAATTCTCCTGCCTCAGCCTCCTGAGTGGCTGGGATTACAGGCACACGCCACCATGCCCAGCTAATTTTTAGTATTTTTAGTAGAGACGGGGTTTCACCATGTTGACCAGGATGGTCTCGATCTCTTGACCTCGGGATCCACCCGCCTCGGCCTCCCAAAGTGCTGGGATTACAGGCTTGAGCCACAGCGCCCGGCGTATTTTTATAAATATATAATTATACATATTCTAAATTCTGTCTGTAGAGTAACAAAAGCCAATATATAACTAAAGATACACAATATGAATTTAAAGCCGCAGATTCTTCCTACACTTCTACCTCTATATTGTTTTCTTAATCTTTCTATAAATACTAATTATTTTTGGCTTTTCACCCTAAAGACTACAAACAGGACTTTATTGGTTATTTTACAACCAAATAGTTGCAAAGAATTTGTCTTCCCTCTCCAATTCTACTCTCTGAAATAAGCAATGTTTGCTATTTTTATATATGTTGTTCTACAATCTTCTCTATGTGCAATTATTACTGTAATAAAACAAAGGGAGAAGAAGGCATGATAGAATATTCTCTTGTCTTGCCTTTTGTGTGAGGAAGAAATAAACAAGAATTTCTTCCCTCTAAATTTAATCTCATTCATACAATAAACAACAACAAAAAAATAAGCAGGTAGTTTTTCCAAAGAGGCATTGTAAAAAAATAAAAGCATAAAAGGATACATTTTACAGTGATTTTCCTTAGCAGCCTGTTAAACATAGACAGGTAAGGCTCCTTGAACTCATCCTTTGGTCCTTCAGCTGAGCACAGCATCATAAACCCAGGCAACCTCTTGTTACTGTCAGATTTGATTCTTTTCCTCAGGAGAAAATTTCCCTCACTTCCCTGCTGCTTCCCACTGCAGAAGAAAATGTCATTGCCCACAAATTTTAGCTCCTCAAAACTTCATCTTGTCTACCTTTGATAGGGTAGAAGAAAAGAAAAAAATTACATATAACCTCCACACATTGAGAGACTAAAACTAACCCCTGATTAATTTCTTTCCAATAAGAAAGTCATCACATGGTATTCAAAGGAAGAAAAAGCCTTTCCAGCCTCATTCACGTTATTTTCTGAGCAGCTGCATCAGGCTACCTGTTCCTCAAACACCATGCTCCCTTCCACTAGAGGGCTCTCCACCATAATTCATTCTTGTCGGTATCTCCAATACCACAAATTCATGATTAATTTTTATTCCACTTCCTCCAGAGTGTGACAGTACTGCCCACTCCCATCATCTTCCTCCTCGGAATGCTGGATACAATTCCAACACCACATCTTTTCCATCGGCTTCAGGGCTGCTTTGCTAGCTTCTTAACATGTTAGTGGCCTCTAACATGTCAGGATTCCTTTGGTCATCGCAATTACCAATAACATTCATGTAAAATGTCATCTAAATGCCAATGACTTCCAGAGTACCAGACCATTCTTTCAAACCACATGCTAGATGGCATCCGTGAGATTTTCCCATAGGTCCTCAACATTGTCAAATTAATTCACTGTCATCCTTAAATCTGTTCTCCTTCCTGTGTTCTCCACCTCACTTTTACTGCTTACTCTACTTTCCTCCTGCACTCTTACATATTTACTAAATGCAATCACTTTCTCTTCCTAAAATTCTTTT